CATGGTCAACCCTGAAACATTAACAGGCTGCAGCATTCATGTGATGTTTGATTGGTAGAACCAACAGCCAAACGCCCATTAATCGAAGCCTCAATCAGCAGCATGAATCGCTGGCCTTGTGACAACAGTCCGGACAGTGGTGTAATATTGTCGGAAATATAATCAGCTGCATGAATCCTTGGCCCTGTGACAACAGTCCACAACTGTGGCAGTGGTGGGATGGTGCCTGGAATATTTTCTTGGCACACTTGAGGCCTGTTGATACCAATCTATCATCCCTCCAATGAATGTCACAGCCCATATTCAAATGTAAACATATCAATACGAATAACAAAACATACAATGATCACATCATTTGCAATGCTTCAGATAATGTAGAATTATACTGGGAATTCGGCTTTTAAACACAATTTTTAGGGAATAAATCTCAGAGCTGAGTTGAAAAGTTAAATACACAAGCTATCAGAAAAACACTTGTCAATCATCCATTCTGTAGTATTCATTTCTAAGAGGGCATTTACACGAACGTTTTGGCCGTTCATTCACACAACTGCGTTTTGGGGGCCTGAAAACGGAAACTTCTGAAAACCGGTTTCAAAGGTGCATGTTTTTGAAAATTATACCGTTCTCGTCTCCATCTAAACTGCGAAAATGCGAACTTCTGAAAACGATGATGCCACGCGCATGCGTATAACCTGTTCAGTTTATAGGCTCGTAGTGTTTCTTTTCAAAGTGACATCGCCATCACCTGGCCTGGCATGAATAATGCAGCGCTTTTAGTCGCATTCGTGGATCTGTGTGAACAGAGATCGCTTTTGATAACGTTGTCGTCTGTAAGCGAAACTTTTCATAAACTCAAAGGAAACACGTTTCAGTTTGTACTACACCGTTGTCGTGTAAGCGTACCCTAAATGTGTGTGCGGGTATGCGCTCACTCTCTGCTGCAGCTGTGTAGATGGTGCCCGGCAGTTTGGGGTGCACATCGGCGGTTTTGGCAGCGATGACCACATTGGCACCGTCCCTCGCAGCTTTGAGAGCAATGGCCTTGCCAATCCCTCGACTCGCTCCGGTAATGAAGAGCGTACATCCAGCCAGCTTCCTAAAATGAATGCATAATCATATAATAATCTTATCATATCGTAATCAGTGCACTATGCGAACAATAATAGTTAAACGAAACATAACTATTCAGAGATGGGTATAATCATATTCTTATCAAATCTAAAGTCAAAGTCATGGGACAGACCAAATTCTACAATTAAACTTGCAATTAGTTTTGAAGACAGCAACATTTGAAATTAAGTCATGTTTCATAATGGTTTCCCTACTTTTTTGACAATGTCAAATATTTGCGCACACACACACACACACACACACACACATATATATATATATATATACACACACACACACACAGTATAAATATACACAGTACATACACACACTTACACACATTAATAAGACATACAAAAAAAAAACATACAAAAAGAGCCACAAATATATCAAATATAAGGATACATAATCTATTTATTATAGATAATTGCCTTGTATTTGTGGCACTTTTTGTTATCGCACATTTTTTTTTGTCGTTTTGTCCAATGTATCACGAATCAAGAGCTGTATTTGCGTTGGCATCCCTTGATTCCTGCGCATGGGAAAGTAGGGTAAAGGTCAAATTATTTTAGTTTAGAAAAATACTATAAATATGTAACGAGAAACGGGGTTAATGAATCTACTGAAATGCCAAATCAATGTCAACATGTTGACATTGGCTGTGTATTATGGCTGCAAAGTTTTGACGAAACAGTCCAGCTCTCTTATGTCATTCACAACAACACAGGTAAGTTAAAACATCGCGTGAATGACTCGATACGTGTATAACGTTACGTCTTTTAATACTAGTCAACACAACAATCAAGCGCAAAATTGTGCAACACACGGCTTATCAGCAAGAATGAGAGTGAAACTCACCCAGTGTTCTGCAGCATTGTGATGTCTGAGATGTTCTGTGTCTAACATTAGACTCAAGCCAAGACCTCTAAATGAAATAGCAGGCTGAGAACTCGCCCTTTACTCTAGTGACAGATTCCACTGCGATATAATTCACTCCACTTCCGGTAGAGTCATGAACGCGCTACTGTTTTAAAGGAACATCCGAAATATGCAATAAAAGTTCAAATAATCAGCTAAAAAAAAGGGGGTGGAAGAAAAATAAAGAATACAGAGAAGGGTCAATCACATAAATAATGGAACAAATTATTTCTTTATGTACACTATTATTCAAAGGGTCTCTTGTTGTAGCATTAATACACTGTCTGTTTGGTTTGCATAATTATGTAAATATGAACTTCAGCTAAGATTATACGGGTGTTTCTAATATGCATCCGAGTTTGGAGGAATATTTTCTATGAATGCACAGCTAGCCGTGGATTATCCTTTACTTATAATTTCGTTTAATTTATGTCATGTTTGAAATCCTAATGTACTTTTTTTAATTACTCTTCAAATAAAAAGATAAAGTTAGTAGGAGTAGTAGTAGTTTATTAATCCCAGTAAATAATATCGTATTGTGACCTAAGGGTATTGTTACACCCCTACTCAATAATAACAATGAAGCAATGGTTACTATTCATAAACAATACTAATAATAATATAAATTATTTATTAATTCTAATATAGGGGTTTTTTTCTATTTCTGCTGTCTCTGTGCAAAGTACACAGAGATCCAAGAGTTGCTGCAGAGCCGAAAGAGCTCCAGCTCTCTGGATGTCATGGGCGGAGCTTGACCTGGTCCAGGAGGGATAGAGTTATGGGTGGGGTTGGACCATCTAGCTCCACCCTTTATGCCCAAATTACATCCAGAGCTCTTTCTCATTCTCTGTGATAACATTACCAGCTTATAGCACCCTCTATGTGTTGCAGAGATGCGGTCGAGGTAAACGTCATCCAAATTTGTTGCAATTATGTGAACATAATAGGCCTACTTAATTAAATGATTTACCTTGGTTTTGCATTTTTGTTTCCTTGTGCATTTTTTTTCATTCCCCTGGATTGCCTCGACCCCTGTGTCATGTTTGTCATCTATCGTGATTAATGATGGTTCCCTTTAAAAACACTTGTTATTTCAGTAGCACCTCATTGCAGTACGCGAGATCCAGGGGGCGGAGTTGGATCCAGATCTAAGGGGTGGAGATGGGTAGGATTAGGGGTGGGGTTAGGGATCAGGGGGCGGAGATGGGTAGGATTAGGGGTGGGGTTAGGGATCAGGGGGTGGAGATGGGTAGGATTAGGGGTGGGGTTAGGGATCAGAAGGTGGAGATGGGTAGGATTAGGGGTGGGGTTAGGGATCAGGGGGTGGAGATGGGTAGGATTAGGGGTGGGGTTAGGGATCAGGGGGTGGAGATGGGTAGGATTAGGGGTGGGGTTAGGGATCAGGGGGTGGAGATGGGTAGGATTAGGGGTGGGGTTAGGGATCAGGGGGTGGAGATGGGTAGGATTAGGAGTGGGGTTAGGGATCAGGGGACGGAGATGGGTAGGTTGAGGTATATGTAAGGTGGGAGGAGTTGGATCTGGATCCAGCTCCTCCCCCTGGATTTCGTGTTCTGCAGTGTTCTGCATTCATCTTTGGCAACAGTGTTACCATGAAAATATAGAATTGTTTCAAGAACAATGTTTCAATTGTTTTAATTACAATCGTAATGTAAATACCTTCACCATGACATCCACCGTCTCTCAGTCAAGTATAAACAGTATAGATAGCCTGTATAAACATATATCTATGATATGAACCAGGGGTTTTCTGTCTTTTATAGGCCACAGACCATATGATCATCCTCGTGTGAGGGACCCCATCCTAAAATTTAAAAGGCAGCTATTTTCATGTATAAACACCCCATTAATACTGTGATTATAGAAATAATAAATATGTGTACATTTTATGTGGAAAATATTTAGCTTCTGTCATGTTATACATTACTTATTTTCCTTACTATAGTACTGTACTGTTAGATGTATTATTTATTTATTTAGAAAATGTATATTCTTTATTTATTTTAATCAATTTATTCACTTATTTCTTTATATATATTTAAATCCAATTTTGTTTATTTATTTTAATCAATTTATGTTAATGAATAATGAAATTTAGTTAAGTCAGTCTGTTTCTCTTAACTTTTCCACGGACCCCCTAAGAACTCCCTTGCGGCCCCCGGGGGCCCCAGTTAAAAAAAAAACCTGGAGTAAACTACTGTATTACAATTTCAGCTGATTTAAATTCTCTGTGCACTGGAATAGTTTACATGCAGGCTATGAATGTGCGATTACACAGTGCTTTTTGTGACACACACGTTTCATGTGAGCACAAGACTGCAGTTCAGCCGGTCCAACAAGTGTAACAAGTTCCTACACGCTTCAGGTACTGAGTGGATAACATATTTACTGCGGTCTTGATGTGAAATGTGTATAATAGTCATCATTATTACAAAACAAAATGCTTAATTTGGTGACATTAATTAGTTAATAATTCAATGCACCAGAATGGTTCGTATGGTTGATAAGGAGTTAATTTTAGGAACACACTCGCAGCTGTAATATAATATAATAAAATATTATAGTATAGAGCTATATGTCTGTGTATGTGTGTGCTAAATATATGTAAATATTTTCCAGATAATATTTTACACATTTCTTTACTGTATGAAAAAAGTCTTTAAACATGATTATATATATATTAAAGCCCTGCTTTAATAAACATATTCCAGGAACAAGATTATAGAGTTCCTAGTGCTGATACATCATCAAATTATCCAAAAGCACGCGCTGCGCTTGAAAACAGTGAACGCGCGGAACTTGTTGTCGCGCGCAATAACGAACTCTATATTAGTGCTTTCAACAAAACGTCCAACAACAACAAATATATTATTACGCGATTCTTCAAAGGTGTGTCTGCTGAAAGGGGGAGGCCATTTTGTACAGAGAAGCGTCTGTACATGCATGCATGTGTGTGTGTGTGTGTGTTCACGTCAGGAGCAGGAAGTGTGTGCGTGCCTTTGTGCTTGAGAGAGTGAATTTGTGTTGGGGAGTCGAACTGTAGTAACAGCAGTAACACCCGTTTCTTCATTTTCCTGTGCTTGCATTGTTATTTCACCTCGCCACTGTTTTGCTCTGTGCAATGGATGGGTATGTGAATTTACAGTGTCTTATTTTCCTATTACGCGCTTGTTGAGTTGCTCATGTATTGAAGTGTTTTCATTATTGTATGTAATGATAATAATGGCACGTCAGAAATGGCATGGGAGGAAAAGTGGGGGAGGGAGCAAACGTGTAAACTGCTGGAGATTTAACCTGAGAGTGCTTGTTTATTTTTAAATGCAAATGCAGTGGAAAAATGAAATATCATTATTTTACTTTCGCTTTGGTTTTGGTTTGTATTAAATGTATGATGCGCTTGTCGCGTAGGCTATGGGTTAATATTAATAATCGGTTGATGTTGTTGAGATGCAAAATATGGGCGTATGGCACTGTGAATAAACCATAATCAAAGTTAGATTCAAGGAAGTGCGCTTGTTTAGAATTAAATGACGTTTTTCTTGTAGCTTTTGTTATACAATCATTCCTCGTTTGCTTTCAACCCTTGCTATTCAATATACACGACATGAATTCGATGTGAATAGATTCGTGAAGTGGTAAGAATTAAGGAAATAAGAGCTCCTCGTGTGTTGCTGCCATTTTAAAGCCATTAAGGGGCGTTTCTGAAGCGAATCTGTCTGAAAACAGTGTTTCCTGGCGCTATTAGCGCTCCCGTTTTCATCCACCGACGCTCTCGAGTGGGTTTTATGTGAGAATTGTAAAAGAAGAACACGATGTTTATCTTTATATCGCGATATTATGTTTAACGACTTTTGCACAGACGGCGAGTCGAAAAACAGCTTCCATTGTACGCAGTCGCGCGCCGCGTTAGAGCTCGAGCGCTATTTATGGTTTAATTTGCGCGTTGTAAATGGTGTTGTATAGTGGGCTGAACTGTCATTGTTTACACTCCTGTGCCTGAGCAAAACTGTGGGCGAGGGACTCCGTGGTGTTCAGATTATACTCACTTATTGTTGCTTTGCTCGTCTCTAGTGACTCATTTCTCCGAATCGGTTCTTTTGAACAGTCCGTTTTAAAGTCCCCATGAAACCAAAATTGAAGTTTTTTTGCTTTTAGTATAAATGTTAGTCATACTGTTATCTCTAAGCTGGTGTGCTCCAAAACAATGACAAAATTCGCATTCAGAAGATAAGCATTCAAAATGCAGTCTCTCATTTTCGCCAATATGATCAATGATTTTGATGACATCACTCTGCACTTCAGCTTCACATCAGATTTGCTGTCCAATCAAATGCTCTCTAGAATCTGAAGCTCCGCCCCTACATTATAAATAGGCACTGAAACTGCTGCTGAAATTGGTCACTTTGTTCACTCAATTACTATTTTATACATGGTGAACGCTGTGAACACCATCCTCTGAATTTGTTGCATTATGGGATTGAATAAGTGGACTCAATAATGTTAACTATGGTTTCAAACACCAATACGAATGGCTGTCCCTTCAAATAGTCCTCTATATAAGGGTGTAGCGGCCGATTTCGTACTACATTTTTCATGTTGACATTTGACCAACAGCGTCAATTGCTTCGCTTCACTGCCATTCACAACTCCTCTGCCGTGGCCTCATGGGATAGTTAAGTGTTCATTGGATGCACACTTCAGAATCTCACTTTAGTGGGTCCTCCGGGTACTATTCCCCTACTGTTTTATAAATACTATGAATATTCGGACATACTGCTCGACTCACATACTGTTTTTCACTTGCAATATAGTTTGGAAGTAGGCATATTTGTACGCAGGGATTCAATCCAGTTTAATGAACCAGTTCAACTGATTCATCTAAAGGATCAGACTCAAAATGAAGGATTTGTTCAGGAATTGCTTGTCAAATAGGATTTAATCTAGTGCTGGACAACGATTAATCGCGTCCAAAATAAAAGTTTGTGTTTACATAATATGTGTGCGTGTACTGTCTGTGTATAATTATTTTGTATAGCCTATATAAATACATGTATATATTTAAGAAAAATTGTTTTAATATATAATTTATGTAAATAAAAATATGTAAATATATACATGCAAATATTTCTTAAATATACACATGCATATGTGTGTATGTATATATACAGAATAATTATACACAGTACACACACATATATCGGTATTATGTAAATGCAAACTTTTATTTTGGATGCGATTAATTGCGATTAATCGTTGCCCAGCACTATTTTAATCAAAAGAGATATTCCACACCTTGAATTGCGAAGTTGGTTATGGTTTTGGTTAATGCTGAAGTGCCTCAATGTCTATAGGCTCATGAAAACATGTCACGTTGTCCACAAAGAACAGTGGCAGTTCCCATTATAGCATGTTGGACCTTTTTAGTGTGTTTATCATTCACACATTGGTTGTGATCCTAGCAGGTTATCATTGTAGTACAGTATACTATATATAAAGGACAGTTGCAGCTCTGCTGAAGTGAAAGCATTAGATAATAATTGTGCATTTTCACACTCCCAGGGGATTTCCACCATCAAACAACTCCCACATCTCCCCAGTGTGGGGATTACAGTCTGCTTCTGAAAGACCGAACACCCATTTTTTACTTTGCCTCTCTGTCTCTCACTGGCTTTTAATAAATGTGGAAGCTTGAGGTGTCCACCTGGGTGGAGGAGGCGGAACTGAGGGGTTCGGTTTGTGTCACTTTAATTATAACAAAGGCATCTGGTAACGCTGAGTCCTGATATCAGACAACTGATGCAATGGAACAGAGCTAGACAAACCTAATTTGTTTGAGGGCTTGTCTTTAAAAAAAATAATTAATATAGCCTAATGTTGTTTCTAAACGTAATATGAAGAAGTGCTCTGTAAATGTTTGACATGCAGTTAGTTGTGTTTATACAGCTCTAAACTGCAATAGTCATGAACCTTTTCACACTTTAATACAGAAGTAGGAGGGGAAAAAGGAAGGTAGTTGCTAAAATTCTGCTTTCGACACTGTTTGCAGCCCACATCTTAAGGAGACAGTGTTGGGGAAAGTTCATTTTAAAAGTAATGCATTACAATATTGCGTTACTCCCTAGAAAAGTATCTAATTGCAGTTTTTTAACAACAAAAAAGTCCTTTTTTGGCAAATGTAAAGACCATTTCTCACCAAAAGTGCAATGAATAAGCCTCAGGCTGAAGGAAATGCAAATTCACGTCTGTAGAGTAGAGGGCGCAGCTCTAACAAACCATGTAATGTTTATATAAAGTCATTTTTGCTTGATCATCAAAGGTCTTGTTAATAAAGTGAGATTAAATGCACAAAGTATATGTGTGTAATTTGACATATTTAATTATTGCAGGTTTGTGTAATATTCTGAGTTTGCATTTCACTGTTTTTATTCATTTTGAGGAATGCTGAATCTATTTGTGTGCAAGTGAGATGAGTAAATGCTCACATTTAGTCTAGAGCTACAATAATAATCATGTTCACACACTGCGCGCACACACAACGCCTCTGCGCTTACAATTTCTCTCTACATGGGGACAGGAGCTGTCAGTCAATGCATGTCAAAACAAAGTAACTTGCAGTAACTTGCATTTACATTACATCAAAAAGTAATGAGTTACTGAAAAAAAGTAATCCAAATCTGGCATAGGCGTACTTATGCGTTTCCCACAGTAATAATAGCAGAGCTTCAGTGGAGGACTGTGTTTGTGTATCATGGCCAACTGTTTTCACACGTCTCATGTGGAGCATTGTTTTTCTTCTCCCTTGGACCAACGAACCATGCTGTATCACAATGTATGATAGGTAAATGTATACGTTGCGTGAAAATCTACAATGTTTGTTTTGCTAATGTCTCTGAAAGTTGCAAAGACGAAGCGCCGCCTGTTCATTTTAAAATGGCGCCTAATTGCTCTTCTCCAAAATAGGTACAACAAATGCGTACAAAGCCTTGATTCAAACTGAGACTAATAAAGTAATATAACGGCAGCTACTAAGAAAGCCACAATGAGAACGCGGAGCTGTTGTCCATCCATCCTGACAGATACCCGCTATGATCAACGAGAGGACAGTTAACTCGTACGTGACTAATTTTGGTCCTTTTAAGAAATGTTGCCTTGTGAAAGAGAACCAAACCAAGAAGACAACGTTGTAATAATTTTAATTCCTGTTTCCGAACAAAACAAATGATCTACAGGTCTGAATACGCCCTAAGGCTTCATAATAAATGATATAATTCTGAAATAAATGAGCAGATCTCGGTCTGCCCTGCATCCACATTCCAAAAAAGCAAGTGTGACCTTATGCTCTAACTTAATAATCGACCTTGTTGAAGTAATGTCCGTAGTGTACTTTAGAAATGTTATCCTGTGGGCTGTAAACTGGCCCGACCGGTCGTCAGCAGAACCAATGCCCTTAGTTCAAAAGGGTGCTTGTTGTGCTCAAAACAAACCAATATTTGTGGGTTTTGAGAATGGAAACATGATTTGGCATTTATATAATATTTAATATTTATTTTTATATTGAATCTCACAGAATGTGCAGGTCATATTCACCTAAAAACAATAAAAAATTCTATTTTGCATAAAGAAAATTAGGCCCACTTTTATTTAGGACCATTGAGATTTTTTTGCATCGTCACATCAATTGTCTTGCCAAAAATATATTTTTCATATTGTATGGAAAGAATGTTTTTTAAATGAGATTTTAAAGGAAATTTTACAACAAATACTGTGATGTATGGAATCTATGGGTACTTTACAATTATAATAATATATCTTTATTTTATTTTTATTCACATTACAGTGATTTTTGGTTCAAGATTTTTGCTTTGTACAGTCATTTTCTTAATGTAAAATAACATTTTAATCGATTGGTTTTAGTATTAAATATACATATATTTGCAGTTTTGTGAGATTCATCCAAATAACGCACTATTTATTTCACTGTTGCACAAAAAAAGATTCCAGCCTTCTGTGCCACATGAATTAGAAATGATCGCTCCTGCAGTTCATTATAATGCATTGTAACCCAATCACAATAGCTTCAAAATGGAAACCATGTGATGGGCACTTTGCTGCCTCATGTGGGTGATTCA